AGATTGAGTTTCCTCATATATAAAAGTTAAGGAAGTCATGGTTCAAAAGCGGGCCAAAGAAAAGTAAGAAAATATGCATATGTTTTCCTGTAAAAATTTTCACCTTAAGGACTTATGGAAAATGTCTTGTTTCAAAATAGTGATGTTTCTCACCTTAAATATAGTAACTAACATTGTTAAAAAGTGAACTTTAAGTATAACTCAAACTTACAAAATTGACTTGTAAGGTGATATTTACATCTACTTACTATAAATTGATCTTCTCTATAGTCGAAGTAGAACTTCTAACGTATTCCTTAACGTTGAGGCATATACATCTTAAGTGTGAAATTAGAAGTTAATGGATGGTTTGATAGTGACCTGATAACGAGTGAAATAATAAACCTAATAAACGAAAAACTTTGCTAGGATAACTTCTAACTCATTACTTTTATACCATGTTAAAAAGTGGACTTTAAGTTTAACTATACCTTACAAAATCGACTAATAGGGCGAGACATGCACACATTTTAATACTGTAATTTTTTTATGTATAACTAATGTGGAACTTACAACAAATATTATTAATTATATGATAAATGGCGTGATTGTTTATAGTTTGAGCTAAAACCTTTAAACATGGTAAAACAAAGTTGTAAAGAATATGAATAAAATGAAGTGGTTGTGATTTCCAATCAGATTATATAAGCAACCAATTGATGACAATGACATATAGTGCAAGTCCCACCATATGTATAAACATGGTACAAAGAAGTGTTCACATGTTGCAGAAACAAATCTATTCTTAAAAAAAAAAAATAGGGGAATACGTCTTGGTTGTGGTCATAACCGAGACAGAAAGCCTTCTATGACATCGGTTAAGGTCACAACCGAGACAGAAAGTCTGGCGAAAAAAAAATAAATAAAAAACACTCTACTGCCTTGGTTCAGGTCTCAACCGAGGCAGTAGAGTCCGAGATACTGTCTCGGTTCGAAGAGAACCAAGGCGAAAACTCCTTTAAAAAAATAATAAAAAAAGGAAAATCTTACTGCTTCAGTTACCTTTGAACCGAGGCAAAATACTACCCATTTTTGCCTCGGTTAAGAACCAAAGCATAAAGCCTACCCCTTTTTGCCTCGCCTGTATATGCCTCGGTTTAGGAACCGTTGCCTATGAACGAAAATAACCGCTGTCGTTTCTCCTGACTGCACTAGTGACATTAATATAATAGATTACAAAATCTCATTGAGAAAGAACACTTGATAATGTACAAGAAAAAAAAAACGAGAATGACAATTAACACTATGACAAACCTCCTCCCACAGACCAATAACAAAAAAATAATAATGTGCACGTGACAAACCTCCTCTCATAAACTAATAATGATGTGCATGTAACATTGATTCTAAGTGACTTATGATTGATGTCATATAAAAAATAGAAGAAATTAATAAATGAAACATCAACTTAAAAAATAGTTGAATCTTTCTAATGTTTAAATGTTGAAATGATTTGATAAGAGACTTGAGTAAAGGATTCTAATATTGCTTGAATGTTGAATTGATTTCATAAGAACTTGAATAAAGGATTCTAATCACAAGAATTAAATATGGTTGGTATAATAAGCACAAGACTAAGAATTAAACATAAGAATAAATAACAACTTAAATACATTAAGAAGGATAAAGATTATGGGTCACGAGATCAAAAGCTATAGTCAACAATTAAGGTATAACTCTTTTTACTTAAGAGTGTATCAATCATAGTATCGCAATTTGATTGTGACTTGATCTACTTAATTTCTGTTATAGAACAATTTATGCATCCTATGACAAAGATAAGATTAATTTGAACCAAACTAATTAAGAAAATAAGACATTTGAACCAAATAATGAAAAGTAAATGATAAAAATAATAGATATAATTGAATGAGAAAAGGATAACTAATATAATGGAGGAAATGAACATAAGAACATATAATAAGAAAAGGTAAAAATGTAGAAGATTTAGTTTAATGGAGAAGAAAAACATAACATTTGTGAAGATTTAGTTTACAATGGCATCATATAAGCTTGAACCATTTGAAGTTCGATTTCATTACAAAGTAATGATATAGTCCTCCTTTGGACATAAGTAACTAAAAGAAGACTTTGAACGAATGCAAGTTCCATTAATGTATGTTTGGCTAAGACAAAGAAATAACAAACAAGGTAAGATTGAAAAAGAAAAGTGAATTAAAGAAATGAATGAAAAAGAATACCTCACTTAGGTTTCCCAAGGATAAAAGTAAGTTGAAAAGCACTCCAACATAAGAATAAAATGAAAAAGAGTTTCATCTTCTTGAAGATAACTAACATTTTCACATATTCCAATTCATTCAATTTCAAATATGAAAGATAACTAACATTTTCACATATTCCAATTCATTCAATTTCATATATGAAGAATACACAAGGAGAAATCTTTATTTATAGATGAAAAAAAAGGGTCAAAACCCATCTAAAAAACAAACTAAAAAATAAAATAAAATTTATCAAATATTGTATTCTAGGCCTATAGACTTTCAAATCTATAACTTGAAATTCTAGGCCTAGATATGTCACAATATCAAATATTGTATTCAATTAATCTAACTAAATGATTGAGTTCCTCTTTATCCAATTTATTTATTATTTTATAACTTTGGACCTTAGGGTTTTTGAAGTTTAACATAGAAAAAAAAAACTACAAGCACTGGGGTTACATTGAAGGGCTCAAATTTAAAAAAAAAAATGCGTTTAAAATATTCACTAGTGCAAAAACAACGTATAACGTCACACGTTCAACGTCTAACCACTCAATAGCCAATGTTAAAAATGACCGGTGACAATTTTGTAAATAAATGCAATTATTAAATAACGTTTAAAATTATAATTCGACGTAAAAGGATATAAAACATTGAATGCCTCAGTGTTAGACGTCAAAAGGTTAGTGAATTCAATAAAAAATTTGAGCGGGAGATTGAAAATTCATTAACTTTATCTTAGCGCGCGAGACCCTCTTCTCTGCTCAAACTTTTCTCGAACGAAGTTTGACGACTATTACATGTAATCTTTCTTTCATTTGATACAAATGCATGTTAATTAACTACTTTAGGTATGATTTTTGTTTGTTTTCACCAATTTTTTGTGTGTTCTTGTCCTTCATAGGCGCATTCTGCTTTCTCTCTCACTGGTGGCAACACTTTATTCCGATGAACCCACCTTTTGAATGTTAGTTTTTGTTTTCGTTTTGAAGAACTTATTTGTTAAACTTGTTTGTTGTTGTTTTTATTGAACTTGTTTGTTGTTGTTGTTTGGTTGAACTTGTTTATTGTTGTTGTTTGATTGAACTTGTTTATTGTTTGATTAACTTGTTTGTTATTGTTATTTGTTGTTGATCTTATATTACCATTCATAGTTCTGCTTTTCAAGTCTCCTAGAGTTGTAAAAAAGAATTACAATTAATTAAAGTAAAATAAAAAAAATGAATTAACGTCGCATATTGACCGATGTTAAATTAATATCGTATATTGACAAAATTCGATGTCAATTTAACGTCTCCCGATATGACGTGATTCTTGAATTTAACGTGAAAGGAAAAAAATATTCGATGTTGTACGCTATTTTTGTACTATCTTTTTGCATTCTATATATGTGCATTTCTTTGCACCACCCCGTATCATTATCACTCTCTTGTTGTTGGCTTTCCTTGCACCCTTGTCTATGTGTTTTGTCATCAATGAACTCAATGAGATTGCATAATCCAAAGTTAATTTTTTATGAAAAAAAAGCTTTCAAATGGTGTAATCTATAAGAAATTTTTAGATTACACAAATATTAAGTAAAAATTTATTTTCGGATTGTATAATAAGAAAACTCTTTTTTTAGTAAAAAAAATACTTTGAGATTACACAAGCTGAAAGTAAACAAGTTTTTTTGAATGTAAAATACAACTTTCAAATTGTGTAATTTAAAAACTTTTTTCATGCGAAAATAAGACTTTTAAATTGTGTAACCAGCAAGTAAAAGAGTTTTTAAATTATACAATTTAAAAGTAAAGAAAGTTTTAGATTGTACAATTTAGAAGTAAAGAAATTTTTCAGATTTTTGGAGGTAAATAATGACTTTTAGATTACATAATTCAAAATTTATTTTTTAAAGATAAGGTAAATTTTTTTTATATTTATAGAGACTCGAAAGGAAAATATAAAAATGCAAAAAATAATTTGTATACAATATATTGAAAAAAAATGAAATCAAATATGTATACTAACTCAATTTTTTGCTGTTATAAAAGAAAATTAAACTTGTAAAATAAAACATATAAAAAGCATTTTTAATGTACACTAAATAAAAGTGTGTACAGAGTATTTTAATAAAATAATATGATATAAAGTTTATAAAGGGCTCACTTCTCTAAATATAATATATATATATATATATATATAAAGGGAATATAAATTTATTTCATTCAATATCCATATCACAATATTTATTTTTGAATATTTGATACATATATTTATATATAAAACATTTTAGTAAATATAATTGTCGTAAGATATAATGTGCTTGAATATAAGGAAGTCGTTTATCAATATGTCTAATCACATTCCACATATTTCACTTAAATATTATCATGATATTTTATTGGTACTAAATGTAACTTACACTCCTAATGGTTTTGATAACTTTTCATAAAATTTAATATAAAGCACTTATATATTGAAATAATATAAATGATCCATAAAAATAAAAATCTTAACTGAAATTAAAGCTTAACAGAATTCTCAAATAGTAATTTTTTTGGTTAATATGAATTTTCAAATGAACATCACTCTAATTATCATTATACTTTTAAAACATTCACATTCAAGAAAAAGATATAAAAATAAATGAGGTAGTTTCGCATTCCCGAAAAGCCCAAACTAACAAGTGTACCGGGTCGGGTGTCTAATTCCTTTTACATATTGGGAAAATTCAATTCAATGACGGTTAGAAGGAAACAAATCTTTGTGGATAAAGCAGGACGAAGACACCTAGATATCGTGTTTAACACGAAACTCAAGTGAGCGCGAGGGTTGCCAAAGACGCATCAACCATTTCCCTTTCCCGCCTAATCACAAACTACATCACTCCCAAACTGAAATTCTGGTAACCCTTCCTTCAAATTCATCTTCTCCGTCTCAACACAGCACAACGAAACCAAATAATCAATCCATGATATCACTGTCACACTGTCCATGCCCTTGAAAAGCTTTATCCGGCGGAGACTATTGTCTCTGCTTCAGCCATGGCTCCGAGAAGAGCCTCACCTCGATCTCCAATTAGGGTTCCTCCACTCTCTCGCCGTTCTCACCAACCTCAGCTTCGACGTTTCCTCTCTCAACCGCCTCTTCGACGCACCCGCGTTTCTGTTCTTCAAGGACCTCACCGTCGATCGCATCACCTTTAGATTCTCCACCTGGTTCCCTCTGGCGTTCACGATCGAACTTCACGGCGTGCGCGTCGTGCAATCTTTCGAGTAATTAAACAGTCGCAAAAAATAAAAAAACACTATCAGCTCTATTTATTTATTTATTCTTGTTCTTTGTTCCTTAACCATTGATGTAACCGTTTTGTTTGAAGGAAGCCGGAAGCTGAGGAATGCGTGGCGCGGTTGCGAAATTCGAAGTATGATCATTCGGATTATCTGAGAAAAAAACTCTCGGCTCTTGATCCTGAGGTAACGAACGCACTTCTCCGAGTCTGAATTTACTATTCACACTTAGTATGACGAGGAGTGTTGTTCTTGCCGAGGTTCTTTATTTGTCTAGTAACGAATTTACTATAATTTGATTTTTGTTGAAATAATCTGCAATTCCTTCTTGATCATTCATAAAAAAGGTGCTTATATTGGCTTCTTTAAGTTTGGAACTTGACTTTCTATATGTTGTCAACACCACCATAGGTCTTAACCAACATATCCCAAACGTGTTTTGCTGTACTGGCCTTGGATATTCCTCCAAAGATAGTTGCATTGCATCTACTCATTGATGAACAAGAATCGCTCCTCACTATCAAGTCATTTGAGTTCTTAGTGATTTGTCTTTTGTTCTTTAGTGACATTTTCTCCTAATTCTTGAAATCCGACCTTCAGCACTTCTTTTGCATCTCGAAAACCAAATATGGCTGTCATCTTCAATCATCGAACATTTCCCCATCAAACACTGTTAAAGAGCAAGAAACAACATTGTATAACTAACCATTTCTCCTTATTTCAAGATTCTGCAGGTTATACAGTCCAAGAACACACTAAATCACGCCTTAACCACAATAGGATTAAAGCACATACATTTGTAGCGTACCTCACATGTTAACAGATGATGCAGGCTTTGGATACCCATTTGTTAGGGAAGAAACCACATGTGCATGGGGAAAGAAGAATAGGATTACAGAAAAATAGTACTTTGTATTAATCATTAAAAATTGTATACACACACAGTTTCATACATTTGCTCGTACTCACTCTATTCTTAGGTTCCTTTTTTATCATACTGACAAACACTGTAACACCCTTTTGAAGAACTGTTTTTTACAAGATCAATCAAAGAGGTCCCATCCCAACTTATTTTTATACTAGTGAACCTTGTCTTTTGTAGGAAGCTATTGTACAAGATATAAGTAAAATAATGGAAAAATGCAGAAATTACTTAGGTTTTTTTTAGTGTTGAAGATTGTGGCTGTCTCTATCACATGTTCGAACTTTTAACCATTTATACCTTTTTATAATGAGAGAATGCTGCTAGAATAGGGAAATTGCTTAGGGATGAGTTGGTAGATTTGTTGAAAACGAGGAAAGGTACTTTGTGATTGATATATGTTCTGATTCTTAAGAGAGACACATGCTTAAGCTGCTGATTTTTGTTTATTGCTTTCCCAGGCAGATTTATTTTGTGTAATATAATGACATTATGGTGATAACTGTTACTGGTTACCTTTTTGTATTGTAGGGCTGTTCATTGCATCACATTTTGGAGAGAATCTTATTTGATGTATCTGAGAAAAAAAATTTAACAATATCTTTTTGGAATATTATTTTGAAAAACTGTCATCTAGTGGCACATCGCATTCATGTGGAGGTTCAATTGCCAGTCTTAAATGATGAGTTTACGTGTTTTGGGGAAATAAGTGAGTTTAGTGCAAGACCTAAATGTGTGGATAGAAAATGCTTACTTAGAGGTTTTGTCCATACAATTTTTACTCCAGTGAAAGAGAACACTGTTATATTAAAAGGTGATGGATTCAGGGTCAGATTAATTGGAAAAAACTCCACAGACCATGCTTTGGTTTCTTCTGATGTACAAATTTATATTAAATTCAGAGATCTTAAGCTGATAAATTGCACTCTCTGTATTCCAGAACTGGCTTTTTCGTTATCTCCAGATGGCATTCCTTCATGTCTACTTTTTCACAAATTGCTATCTAATAAGTATAATCAATCTAGAAGTGCTGGAGAATTATGGAGAATAGCTGCCAGCAGAATTGGCCATGTGACTGTAACTTCTAGGTTGTCATTATATAGATTAGTTGGAGTTATAGGTCAATGGATACATTACGTCAATGCTTATGAGAATATCTTGCTGTTATTTGGATATTCTACTAGCTGCACATGGAAAAACTTCATTTCTAAAATGTCTTATAATAAATCGATTTTAAGTTCTGCTAGATGTCATTGGGAGTTGATCTCTGACATTGAGAAAAAGTTGCCTATTGAAGGCATATCACTGGGAAGGAGAATAGCCCGTCACAGAGCAGCATTGAAGTTTTCAATTAATCGTCATGAGGAATTTGCTACCACAAATAAAATTTTTCGTCCTATTCTTTTTATTCTGGGATTTATGTGGAAAATGATCTATGTGGCTGTCCATTGTCTAGCAAATATATTTTCTGGGAAAAGAACGGTGCAGGATTCAGATATTGATGGATGTTGTTTAGATTCGTTGGAAAGTCTTATTGAAAACTCTTGTCAAATTTATTGTCTTACTGTCAACTTTGGGAAAATCATAATGACAGTTTCCACAATCAACAATATTCATCCATCTGTATATGAAAAGTTACAGTCATCTGCTGGGATTGTTTGCTTAGATGGCCTTTCAATTTGGCTTCGTATTGATGCTTTGTTATTAGTATCTATAGAAGATCTTTTTGAACAGAAAGTCTTTCTATCATGTGGGCAAATGAAGGTTGAATCTACACCTTTGACAATGGCAGGAGATGCATGTGCAGTGAATCAACTTAGTTCAGCTAAAGGAAATGAAATGGAAGGTGAGAATCATATGGAATCTATTATGTGGGTTGCACCTGCCAAAGTATTTCTTTCAGAAATTGATGCTGGCCAAACTGAAGATGCTTGTGATGCTTATATTGAAAGCTTCATGGAAAGGTTGTCCATGAGTTGGAAAGGAGTTTGCAGAAAATTGAATGATACTGAGATTGAGTATTCTGAAAACCCATGCCTTCTCTCTAAGGTTAAGATATCTTCCACGTGCCCAGACCATAAGAATCCAAATTTTGGATTTTGTGAGTGTGGTTTAATGCTAGGGAAATTAAATTTAGTTTTGCGTCATTCTTCAGTATCGTTACTCTCTCTAGTTCTTGGTAAGATCCAACATGCTATTTACTGGGAGGACAGAAGGGAAGTGTCCATTGCTTCAGAGTTTAGGGACAAAGCTGAAATTGCTTGGATTGACAAATATGACTATTCCAAAGAATTGATTATGATCTTGCTTCAAAAGCTTCCCGAGAAACTCATTCATTTTGGAGTATTTTTTGAGGGTCTTTCTGTTAAATTTTCACACAGAAGGGAGGCCAATCAAGAAATTGACGACATTATCAGTCAGGACAATTTTGATCTCACTTTTGATTTCCGTGAGATTAAAGTGGTTTTCAGTTCATCTTCTTCATTTGATATGACACCAATGACAGGTCAATTGGGGAATGGCAATGCTAAAGCAGAGTGTGTTAAATTGGAGCCTCGGGTGATTGAAATTCCAAAACCAAGTAATGACAAATATTCAACCTCAGGAAAAGTTTCCATACGTTTCTTCCTTCTTCTAAATGGCACAAATGCTTGTTTGGAGAAACCAGAAGAAAACCTTCCGATTCAACTTTTTCTATTGAAGCCAATCACTATCAATATATTGTCCTTTAGGTAGGAGCTTTGGATACGGGCTGGTACTTTGTTTTTACTATCAACTTCCTCTATCTTGAATTATTTCTTTACTCCTTGGTTTTGCACTTCTTGACATTTTAATTTATGGTTTGAATTAAATTTTAGAAAGTGTCTAACCCTTTTTTATCATTTTCATGTGCTGTGATAAGTTGATATACGTAATTGATAGTATATTGGTCATGATGGTGACTTAATTTGTTCAGGTCTGGTTTCACACCCATAGATGGAAGCTCTATCTGATATCAACCTATCTTGAGTTTATCCTTTTCGTGTTTGGGTGCATTTTTTTAGAATTAAACCCTTGCTAAGGGAAATAGTCAGTTTTTCTCAAATTTTAGGTAGCTTGGCAGATGACAGTTGTGGAATAAGTTTGGTGATGGATTACTAACTGAAATTGATGTTAAGTTTAATATGATTAAACACATAATTTTACAGAAATTACATTGGAATTTAGAAACTCCTTCAGAGAAGGAAATCTACCTAAATTGCCAAATACAGACATAATAGCGGCCTCCAAACCCCTACTTATTTAGTAAAAATCTATAACTTCCACGCATCACTCACCTGCATACTTAGACACACAACTGCTGCATAATTGTCTTGAGGATTTAAGTACATAACTACTGCATGACCATGCTTCCTTATTAAATACATTTCCGTGCTTACTGACTGCCATGCAGCAGAGTCCATATAGGTGGTTGATTAGACTCTTGAGAAACGAGTCCCACCATTTGGTTTATTGATAAACCAAAGTCTTGACAAACCCAAAGAAAAGAATATTGGATTGTGAAAGGATATTTATAGTAAAATATAGGGATGATGGGTGTTACAGTATAAGGTAGGGGACCAATTGTTACGTACCCGAGTATGGGACGTCACTAGAACGCTCACTCACACACCCTCGCAGAAAAGGAACAATGGAAAATAGCTGAAGAAACCTCTTTTATTGATAAGAATAACTGAATCAAATAGAAAACAAACAATAATTGGGAGCATAATCTCCGTCAACTATTATGGAGCATAACCTCCTTTACAAAACTCAATAATCAAAAGCATACTTTTAACCCTAGATTCTCCCTTTATTTATACTAATTATTTCCTAAATAAAATATTTTCCT